AACCTAAAGAAGCTGAAAATCACTACCTTGTTAACAGTGGAGGATAAGTCCCATTACTATCTGCATTGAGTTCAAAACAACACATCACATGCATTCATTCATGATTCACCCGAAAGACAAAATCCAATACAGAACTAATAAAAGACCCAAAAAACATGAAAGCAATCACAAAAAACACAAACAAGTGATTAGAAAGTTACAATCACAAAAACAATATCTTTCTATGCAAGAAGCTGAAAAAATGAAAATCACTTTTCTTTCCCGAAGCAAAACTCAGTCCCACGTTATCGTCCAATCGATAACTTTAATCATACCAAATAACAATCGAATCTTTACCTCTCCCCGGAATAAAAACCAAACCACTCCCACTGCCAAAATCCACGCCCGGATTATAACCCTGCAGCAATCTCTCCGAAATCCTGGCCCCACTCGCAATTCCCGATAAACTCTCGCCGGGCCTCAACGGATACGTAACGAAAAGCCCGTAATCTTTTGACACGCGGCTGTCCCCACACGAGCACCTCACGGTCACATTCACCCGGGCGCCGGCCGGGATGCTCCCCGGCGCGTAGCTGTTGAACCTCATCAGCATTTCAACTGTCGTCAGGTTCGAGTAGACTAGCCCCGCTATCCTCTGGTAGGTGGCGTTCGCGGACCGGACGCGGTAGACGAACCGACCGGCTGAAAGCCCGTCCACCGGGCCGCACGAGAAGGGCACGCGCAGCCGAGAGCCGGCGCTGATGAGGTTCGGGTTGGTGATTTGGGGGTTGTAGCTGAGGATTTCGTCGATGGTGGTCGAGAGGACTCTGGATATGACGGACAGGGTAGCGCCGTCCCATAGGTAGTAGGAAGCTAAAGCGTCGCAGCCCTGGCCGGATTCGGGGGTGGCTTTGGCCCGGAAGACGGAGAGGAGCAATAGGCCGAGGAATGTGCTGGGATTGAGCTTTTGGGGGGTTTTCATGGAGGAAGGTGGGGTTCTTTTGTGGGCTGGTGAAGGAGATGATGGGAGTTGGGTTTGTCTGGTAATTTTGTCAAACAGGTTGTGGGCAGATAAATCAGTTGACACTAAAAAAAAAGAGTGGTCTTTCTTTATTATAAATCCATGGAAGAGTGGAGATTTACGGTGGTCCAAAAGGTTGAAATTGGTCATACATTGTCGGCAGTTGGTGAATTTCACAATATCTTCACTACTCTTTTTTTTTTTTTTTTTTTTTNCTTCACTACTACTAAAATGAAAATATATATCAAATTTCACAAATGTTTTTTATGATACAATACATAATACATCATATTTAGCCCTTACAACATGAAAGAATAAACTCATGTCATTTTGCTATGTAAAGATTTATATTTAGGAGTTCAGATTTGAAGTTATTTTGATAAATCAATTTTGCAGATTGAGGTTATTGTAAATCCATGTTCAAAAGTATACTGGAGTACACTAAAAAAATACAATAATACAAAAATCAAACTTTCTTTCTATATTTTAAATATTTATTTATATTGGTCAACTAGAACAACAAATAATGTGAATTCAAGGTTTAGATGTCTTTGCCCCCAAGGTTTGCAGTAGTGCCTTAAATTTCAAAGAAGCTCACATAAACAATTAACATGCAAGTGAAACTACAAAAGATGTCAATTCTCATATGTTGACTTTTTTTTGAAAAAAAAAACTTCTTAAAGTTGCTCTTAGAGGAAAAAGGAAATGAGAAGGAATGTAGAGATTAGTTTTCTCTTTTATTTTTCTTCCTTTTTTTCGGAAATTTGTTGGAACCTTAACAATTAACATTAATGTTCTTCTGGAGAGTCATTAGTTAGTTCATTATAGCAACTATCCTGGCTAGACTTTCTATTTTAAATCACATAAAAATGCAGATTTTGCAATTTTAGAAAGGATAAATTAAGTCACATAAACAAAATTAACCATAAGTAACTCAATTTTTTTTTTCCAAGTTCCTTATAAAAATAGTTTATTTTTTTAACAAAAATCCTATTGTCAGCATTGTAATTGAGCTGAACCGAACTTAACATTTTTTATATTCCAGCTCAGACTCAAACTGAGCCGGTTAACTAACAAGTCGATAACGAAGTTCGATTTCTAGTCTATCAATACTAACGAGCAAAACTCAAGACTTATTATAACTCGAGACTTGACGAAGCTAAAAGAAATAATAAAATACATAAAAACCTTATTTTAGAAATCCAAGTCACAAGTGATATCAACTCTTATCAGCAATCAATTACTTTATCTATCAAATCAAGAGTCGTTCTCACAAATATATAACTTGTCAATCGTATAGTATAGTATAGTATTGAATTATTATGGAAAAAAATTGACTATATACAAATAATGCCTAAGATGTCGAATTCGACCAAAAGGAGGAACAAAAACTGAATAGAGTCCAGAAAATAACAACAGTATTTCTGATATATATATATATATATAATATAATATAAAAGAAATTACATTTCACACATTATAATATTGCCCTAACCAGTAACCACAACAATTGAGTATACGAAAGAAGATAAAAAATGAAGAAACCAATATAGTACATAAGCAACGAATGCCTAGTTCCAGCAGACGGGCCACCGGTCCGGGTCAGCCCGCCACACCAGTGGGCTCAGCCCATTGACCTACACCCTAGCCCACTCGGACCAAGCCCATGTATCACAAGTTATTAATATACAATTTAAGGTTAGCAAAGTCGAAAACCAAATTACATCAAATGTACACTTTACAGTCATAATGGTCTGAGTTATTGCAAAATCTGCAAGAGACACCTTCTAATCCTCTGTCTCGTCGTGAAGGTTTTCCTTTGCCTGCAAGAGACGAACTTTTTTGTGTGTACCGGAATTTTATACGAAAAACAAAAACGAGAAAATTCGTTTGGGCAAAAACTTACGTCAAGGTAGATTCTAACTTCTTCGGAAGCTTGGATTTTCCCTTTACTAAAGTAAGATTGAGCATTTTCTTCAATATGATCCACCCTGCAGAATGCAATAAATCTTAGCTGATAAGCTTATCAGTGAATTTCGAGCTGATAGTTGATTGGCTGAATAAAAGTGTTTGGTAAAATTAGCTGAAATAACAAATTTTCATTTGTTTTTTTTTTTTTTTTAAAAAAGCTACATATATAATAAAAAACTAGCTGATATAATAAAAGTGTTTGCTAAAATTAGTTGAAATAACAAATTTTCAACGGTGTTTTTTTTTTAAAAGCTACATATATAATCAAAATTCAAAGGCTCGAGAGTCTTACTTATAGATGTAGTTGACCATAATTCCAGCACTTTGGTTTAGGCCTTTCTCCGATCGATCCGCCAGCCAATTAATCCTTCCAACCATCTGCAGCAAAAAAATTGAAGTGAATTTTGTCCTTAAGGGAAAAAAAATTGAAAGGCGGAGAAAAAATAAAAAAAAAAAGAAAGAAAGAAACTGACGGCCCCATTTTGTAAGTGGAAATTTCCAACAGAATCCAAAGCTTTTCCTCGTTTCTTCTCTTGAAGAAGATACCTTCAGCCATCGAGCAAACACATGAAAGAAAGAAAAAAAGATAATGATAATATTTTAATATTAATAATATTATTAATTATACTACTATAGTAATATCTTCAGTTTTACAAAATATACCTTGCACAGAGTCTCATTAAAGGGTTTTTTAATGCTATCGACAATTTATCTGATTTGGTCCATTGGTGATCGGCTGAGGATAATAAGTCACGCATTACTTCCATCCCCGTTTTCCCAGTGGTAACTTCTCTGGGTAGACAATTGAAGGAAAAAAAAATCAGAAAATAATATCATCTTCATAAACTTGAAACAGCTATATATGATAAAATGAATTTATTATCAGTTATTTATATCAGCGCAAAGAGAAAAAGATCTTAGCTCAGGCTAACAATTTCTCAAGACTGATAGGAAGGATATTATTATTGGAATTGCAACACAACCTTCCGGAATCTTCTAATAAAACAGAACAGAATTCTTACTCGGCTGCTTCTAGAAGGGCCCTTGCTTCTTCTTCGTTCAGCAAGTTTTCACTGAAAGTGGAATCGAATCTCCCGATTGATGCCAGCTTTGAGAAAAGCCATTGCATGTAACCCGATATAGGACTAAGCGTAGCAAATGTCTGTCGGGGAATAAATTTTTGCAATGTCACAATAACAAGAAAAATAAACATAATAACAAGAAAAAAAATATAATAAATACTATCGATATATATAGACTTACTGAGATTTTCGGCATGTCCCTTCGCACCAAGTCAATCACACGTTTGATGAGAAACTTCCCTAAGTTGATTCCAGATAAACCGGGCTGCAGATTTTTAGGCAGCACGAAAAAAATTTTATGCAAATTCTCAATAACACAACCGAAATGAAACGTCATATTTTTGAAAGAGTAATTCGAAATCAATTTAAGGCCATGTTTGGTAAAACTTACAGCTTATATCTTATGACTTATAGCTGAAAAACTAACTTATATATGATAAAAGTGTTTGGTAAAAATTAGCTGATAAACTTGTTGCAATAAAAATTACAACGAGCTTATTTGAAAAGCTACTCAAAGAAACTTACGAGATAAGTTTGAGCTTTTTAAAAAAACTCGTCCTACCAAGCGAAACTTATTTGAATACAAGAAGCTTATAAACTAAACAAATAAGCTATAAGGTAGCTTATTTAATTACCAAACATAGTAGAGTTCGGGAAGATGAATTAAGCACAGACATGCAGATAGCAAATATCTGCATGATAATATGCATGCCCTTATTCTTTCATTTTTTTTTTTTTTTTTGANCTTCTCGTGTGAAGATGAAAGGGCAACTATTCTGATTCATATTACACAAGAATCATTTTCTCACTGTAAATTCTCAAATGCAAATTCAGAATCAAATAAATAATTCAAAGTACTCGAGTATTTTCACATTCCGATTACCTGAGTGGAAGATATGGAATAAAATAGTGCACATGTCGCCTCATGTTCGACTATTGGAGGATCATCCCACAAAACTTCCTGTAATGTCATAAAACTTGTTCATGGTAAAGCATAGCTCGACACGTATTTTTCTATCATAGATAGTGTATAAAGGTTCACCTGTATTGTTTGAGCCACATTCTTCATGAGAGCTACTTCAATAAAAATCAATGGTTCACCTAAAGATAAGAATAATATTTCGAAATAAAATAAGCTGCCAAAATCTAACACGCTGTGAGTGAGATAAAACTTTAACAATAGTTCGGATGGAATTGCATACCAAATGAAATTATTCTCTAAACTTTTGTTTCAAAACTTGATTTTTGCGATGAAAATATATTTTCCACATTAAATGTTTGTGCTGTGTTCAAAACAAAGTTTTTTCAGACACACAGACTTATTTTTCTATTTTGGTCTCTATTTACTATTTTTCATGGCTTTTTCTAATGCTTAAACTTTTGTTTCAAAACTTGATTTTTGCAATGAAAATATGTTTCCCACATTAAATTTTGAAAAATAATGAAAATTAACAGTTTTTTTTTATTTCGAGAATGTACGATCATACATAAATACACTGCATTTTCAAAATTTTCACGCACGAAA